TGAAAGGGGGGTTGTTTGTCGGGGTTTGTTGCTGGCATGTGTAGCTCACCTTTTTTGTAGGATTTTTTTTTTCTTTTTTGTGGTTTTCTTTATTTATTTTTTTTGGGGTGGACTTAAGGACAATTATTTGGTATGTTTATTTATTTTTAACCTTTTCTACATATGTTTTGTTTTTGTTGGGAAATTGGTTTGGTTTGTGTATTTGAATGTGCATTAAGGCAGCAGAGATGTGGCGGACTGGCGGTTGAATTTGGATGTGTTTTTGGACATACAATTGTGTAGGGTAAATAACTGAGGGTGTCGAATATACTTAAGATGGTGAATCCATGTTGAATACCATGTTACGGCTAACATAGACTAAGAGATTCATGTAGATGGTAGAGGCTCATTTTACTCAATTTAATGTCATATATTAAGGTGATTTAAATTTGATTAAATTGTATAGATTAATATAAACTTTTGTTTCATTCTGAATTTAAGATCTTTCAACAATTAACAATAAATGACAAGTATTTTTATATACTGCAAATGGAATCATGTGGTCAACAAATAAGATATAAGAGGCATAGGGGTGTAGCTTGTCATTTAACATGAAGTGTGATATGGGATACCATAACGGGTTGACTCGACCGAGAAATCAATCAACTGGAGAGGGTGAAGTGGAAGGTCAATCAGAGATCAATGGAGTCATCAGGTCAACAGAGACATGGCATGAAGAGGTATTCTCGATAGGTCGAGCTAGGGCCATCAGATAACCTGGTAGAAACTCAACCTAGAGGCACGTAGGTCGAAGGATTGACCAGGAAAACATGGTGTACGAGCTTAGCACAAAAGACACTCAACCTCGAGGTGCATCAGGTCGGTTGTAACGCCCCGAATATTTATTACTATTTATGGAGCTCGACTTTATTTGCATACATAGTCAGTTTCCTTATTTAGTTTATTTAATTATTTTTTTATTACACTAAATCAAGTAATTAGTAATAAATCTAAGCCATGGAGAATTTATTGGGTTTTTAGTTATTAAAAATCAAATTTATTTAGCCCATGTATCGAATATTAATTTTAAGTTAAAAATCGAGCCTTGGAATGATCGGAAATTTTATCAAGTTAGGTCGAAGCCCAAAATTCGAGCGAGCCTATTTTATTCAGGCCCACTTTAATAAATCGAGTCCATGTTCGATTTTATTTCGGCCTATTTAGTAAATTGAGCCCATGTTCGATTTTTTTAAAAAATCAAAACTATGCCGATTTTTCAATCCGAGCCTTATATTAATTATTCGACCGACTAATTTAATTAGTCTTGGTCCTGAGCGATTTTAATACCCGAGCATTTAAATCCCTAAGTCTATGTTCAGTTAACAAAGACCCGTTTACATAGCTAATTAAAAGACCCGATTCTTATGCCCAATCCAATGAAAACCCTAGCTCCTCTCCTATGTATATATATATACTTAGCTCATATCCACTCCCAACATGACAAAACCTAGCCCCATTCCACCCTCTTCTAGATCCATCCTCATTTCAAGATCCATAGCAAAAATCATCCTTCATCCACCATCATCTTCAAAAATTCTGCCGAGCTCCTCCTTTTCCGGCCACCGTAACAAGTTCCGATGAGCCCAGCCACGAACGAGCCCGAGCTGCACCATTTTGGCCCCCGTCGGTCCGAGTCGAGTCCAATCACGCGCCTCGCAGCTTGCTGTCGCGGTCCAGGCCAGCTCCGGTCCCGACCTGTACCATCCCAGCTTGAGTCGCGGCCGTCTGCCCCTATTCAAGTCCATTCGCGCTCGGTGAACTCGCCTCCTAGCCATCCCGTACGCGAGCCCTCCCCAGCAACGAGTTCGCGGCCGAGTCACCTGAGTCAAGCTCCACCAGCGACCGTACGCGCGAGTTGAGCCTGGTTCCGACCCTTTCTATCTCGAACCGACCCTGTGCGAGCCAAACCTGGTCCAGCCACTCCATACCCGTCCCGACTCAGTCATTACCGAGTTGACTCAATCTGTGTCCGAGCGGTTTAGCCTCGAATCGATCGGTTCAGCAATCCCGACCCTCCGAAACACGACCAACTGCCAGGAACCGACCCAGTTGAGCAGCCCCAGGTCCGATTCACATCACCCGAGCATTTTCACTTAAACCGACTCTCTTTCGACCTTCCGATTCAAGCCGATTTAAGGTATTTTGGCTTGAACTTAACTCCAATGGCTTAGATGCGATTATTGATGTAGCACCCCACTTTGTTTTAAGGAATTTATCGAATTTAATTATAAGAATCAGTGTTAATTTTTCGCAAATCTCAAATTAAATTTTAAAACTTAATGGGCGCTACTTAACTACCAAGTACTATTAACCGAAAATACAAACACATCAGATAAAATCGGTATATGCATGACTACTAGTTATAAAACATCACTTGCATTCAATAAGTTCCAAACCCATGAAAACAAATCATAATCCAAGGTTCAAAACGACGTAGTCAAAAGTTTCCCAAATTAAGCATGAAAGATAATCTCAAGTCAACATAAGTTCATAAAAGTGGAAGCAATAATAATCATAAGTAAAATAAACCAGACCACCACTCGCCTTGCCTCGTCACCCGCCAACTGCTTAACCTATATTCGTGAAGAGCAGGTGGGAGTGAGTACAGTTGAAAAATATTGTACCCATACTATGCATATGAAACAACTCGGAATATGTTAAGATGGTATGGTCGCAGCATGAACATAAACAATTACAACATCATGTCTCATCTTTAGTCACATCAATGACTCTAGTCTAATCAAAGACTCACTCATGTGCACATCTACGCTCATTACAGCTTAGCCATGCCACATCAATGACATGGGAGTGCGTGCCACATCAATGACACGGCCTTCTCATAGGTCTTAAGGAGATTTACCTCGTAAGGGTAACCGTATTACATCGACGGGGACAACTGTACCGATGGCCATCAAGCTCGCATCGATAGGTTACATGTTCACATGCATACATAGATCATACCGGTTTAACACATATAAAACGCATATGCATAGACATTTTAGAATAACTAACACACCAGGATTTCCGAATTGAAATAACTCAACAAGCAATGGACGTAGGTCGAGGGTTGACTCCTCAATTACCTACATTAAGTCAAGATTCTATAATCAACATCTACCTTGACTTAAACGGAAAACACAAATCATACTTAGTCCAAGCTTGATTCGATTAAGTTGTTCGTGAAGTCCTGTGGACATTGGAACACTTAGACTCGACACTTATACTAACCAAACACATATGGCAGTTCACATAAATCCAACTAAAAGTCGACCAAGTCAAACAAACAAAGAATAGCATGCGAGTCGGTTTAAAAAACTATATTCTTGAAATATTAGTCGATATGTCACATAATCAGGTTGGTTACGTTACCGAATGAGTTAGGCTTTAAGATTTTAACCAAAAATCCAACTCACTCGACTCAGCAAATCCACCAAATTTCAGCCCCTAACTTAAAACACATGATTTTATAAAATTCGAACAAGTTTTCAGCAAAAATGAGCACAACTTTAAAACCCGACATAATGAACGATTTAGCCTTTGACACTTTTACACAACAAACCTCAGCATATGCGTATCAATATTTAAAAATTTCAGCCTTAAACATTTAACATGCAAATTTTAAAAATTCTAACAAGAATCTGCAGCTTTCGATTCATCAAAACTGAACCAATATGAACTCTAACAATTCTGATATTTTTACTGCATGAAACACATCACAAAATAAGCACTTCAACCAAAAATCAGAATTTTTCAGCAATAGATCAGATTATCATAATTAAACTAATTTTCGGCAAAACAATACAATAAATTATTTACCTTAGCAAACTGAGTTCAAAAATTTTGAAACTTTTACACAACATGTAAACATTCCAGAGAGACAACATACTCAAGTTTCAGCCAATTTGGAGCACAAATAAATTTAATACGCAATTTACAATATTCTGCCCAAAAATCAAAATAATTAATTAAAATAGCTACAGTTGGTATTTTAATCTGAAATTTTTACACCACATACATATTCATTAGAGGAACCTACACACAAAATGTCACATCAAATGGATCATCGTACAATTTATTAGGAATTTAATACCAAATCAGCGATATAACGTGTTCATAAATTCATGAACGACTTGACAAGACTCGAAATTGTCCGGGGCCTTCACCATAAGGCCAAGAACTCATTGTTCCAATCCCACAACCACTTAACACGTGCTTAACGTGATCTCGTTCGGTTTCTCAAAATCGACGAGATCAATTCATAATTTAATTAAGACAAGGCATACATTTATATTTAACAAATCGCATTAACACATATCACGAAAATAAACGAGACGGGGTTCGAGCCTATGTACCGTTCTCGAGGAATGTTCGAAAAACGGGATGAAGGAGGCGAACGACAAACACGCGTGGCGGCACTCGGCGGCTACGCGCGACTCGTGAAGGGCTGTGGCGAAGATGGCGGCTCGAGGACGACTGACACGGCCTGCTGGGATGCTACACACGTGGTCGCGGCGTGAGGCTCGCTGCTGGGGTCGCCGGAGGAGCAGCTGATGGCTCACGGCAATGGCGTTGCAGCAACGGGAATGACGATCGGCTGCTGCGCGAACGGAGGTGCTGCTCGCGGGATGAACTTACCGAAGTTGCTGAGGTTCCCGTCAGAGTTGCTGTGCATGGACAGGTGAGCGGCGGAAGTTGGTCGTCGATCGCTGCTGATGGCAGTGGACGGCTCGCGACGTCGCTGCGGGATCGTCTGCGCGTGAAAGAGGTCGGCGGCGATGACGTGATGGTGGTGATGGCAAGATGAGGATGGAGATGAGGGGCGATCGGGTTTCTCGACGTGAGGAAGGAAAGGGGATGGCGACGGGATTTTTTCTCCTCTTTCTAGAAAGAAGAACAATGATGGCGAGGGTAAGAGATGAGAAAAGCTACGCGTGTCTGATCGATAGAGAGGAGAAGGGCTTAGGGTCTGCGCGATCGAAGAAGAAAAAAGGAGTTCTGCCTTCTCCTATGTCTGCTCGCGAGAGAAAAAGGAAAAATATTGGTCCAAACTCACTTGTAATTTGGACCGAAAATTCAACTCACAAATTGGGTTGGAGATTAATTCGAGATGGCCAACGTCAAACGAAAGGTTCGGGCCAAAATATTTAAGTCAAACAGTCAAATTGGGCCCGAATAATACTAGCAATAATGATCCGAGAATTAAAACAAAATTGGGTCGGGTCCATGGCCGATTTCGACTACCGGTTTCTCGGGCTCGATTTAGCCAATAAATTATCTTGGTTCGGCTCGACAATTTAAAATAAAATTTGGGTATA